CTTGCTCGAAACACTTCATTCTTTTCACGCAACTTCCTCAAGTGGATATAATTAGTTCCAGATCAACCAGTTTTATCCTCGATTATAAAATTGATTCTAGATTCCATCAATTATTATGTCGGTCAACCACCATCCCCCCGTAAAGTTCGTCAAATTCTGATCAGTTCTAATACTCAACTCCCACTTTCGTATCACTGACATACGAGTCCTGCTGAGACAATGAAGTGGAAATGAGTTTCATGTAAGATTCGCTGTTTCTATTTGATTTATTTTTCCCCGATGCGAAGTGTGTCGCATATTTTCCTTTCATTATAAATTCCCAGAAGAACGAATACTCTGCAAAGTATTATACGTTCATTCCACATTTACGTAACGAATGCAGGAACAGATATGAAATCTAATGGTGATTACTTCCGGGAATGTCGAAGACAGAAATGCTCATTACGAGTGTAGTCATAAACAGTGAAATGTTCGTGTACATTTTTTATGTTGATGAATTTCGCTTCTTCAGACTGAAGTATTCATAAACTTTTGATGATTTCGTTTTGTGTAATGGCATCATTTGTGTATTTCTTTGCAAAGCGACTAACCATGTATCTACTAACGTCTTCATTTTCGATCCTCATCAGCAAATTGGTGCAGTATCAGTTCAACGATCATAAATCACTTACAATCAATCATTTTTTCACTTTTGAAAGTTGCAGTAATTCCAGAAGTTAGTAAGCCGCCGAGATTTGCATACTGTTTAGTTGTGTGATATTTTCTTGCGTCAGATTAAAACATCACATCCGTAATAAGTAATGCGCAGACATACACATACTTACAGATCTTCAAAATGCTGTCATGAAATTCACTTATGAAAATTGAGATTCGTAATGCTCAGTTTGAATGGCATAATCCATAGCCCACATTTGTTCACTGAAATGATATGGAGAATTTATGATGTGAATATCATGAATCTTTTTAGGGTATACGTTCCTTGCGGGCATACTCCTGTTCATTCAACATTTCAGTAGCATTACTTCAAAAATTTTAGTTCCTCTGACATGTTTTGCGTGTTGATGGATTTTTTAACTGTTTTTGTGATTGACGGTTGCTAGGTTTGAGAGCTTTCATCGGATTCATTCTCGCTGCCTTGAATTAAAACGCGAGGAATCGTCTCGTTCATTTTTCAATTTTAAAAGCTTCTCGGACGAGTTCTCTCACACATCTATCTTGAGTATTGAGCATGATTGCGAGGCATGATTCGTGCCGACTGATACTCTGTTCAGCAATTACTTCTGCTTTCTCACAGGACGAGTTTTATGCAGCATTCCTGACTATATCTCGAATCTTCTCGCTTCGTTTCATATCCGATGAAAGTCGCGTTCATCGATCAAAAAACAAATTGTGCCTTGTTGTTCTATGAACAAATTATTGAAATGACAATTTTAAATGTATTATTCTTAAGAAGAGGTGTTCATTTTTACAACTCTGTTGAAATTATGAATTGAAATATCTATCATTCATGTTTAAATTGTGATCGCACCATACTTTCACATTCGAATCACAAAAAAGTATGTTGTGTTTTTCTCTAGTACTTGAAAAGTAAACTCCACTTCTTTTTCATGACGAGCTCGTACGATTTTCAGTAGTTAAAGGGGTCCCAAAGGTACCCAGCTGCATTTAAAATTTGTCCTCTGTAAAACTTCAGTGATTTAGAAAATGCTCATCAAAATGCAATCAAAATTTTGGATAACATTAGAGTAAAAACACTGCTTCATCTGCAATATAAGAACGTGCACCGCCTAATTGTTTCCCATAGAATATCACTTTCTATTATCCTATCCTTCAGAATATCACTTCATTATCCTAACCTTTCTATCATCCCTTCTATTATCCTATCGACAATTAAAAGTTTCAGAGGTACGAGCTCGCAAAATATCACATTTTAAAGGATTTTAAATTAAATCCTTTAAATTAAATCGAGGATTTTAAGCATTTCAAGTGCATTCGCGGATCACATGATGGCGCTTTATTTCTTATTGTTCATCTCAGAAGTGATAAACAAAACACGAAAAAGAAGTGGCATTATTTGAGCGCCCTGATAATGATATGTTTGATGAGGGAAAAGTTTTTAAGATTAGTTTTGTTCGAAATGACCTTAGCATTTGTTCCGAACGTATTCACAATGCATTATTGTTTTCGATAATTCGAGCAAGCATCAGCACTCATGATGTTTGACTGCGAACAATCTATGAGATAAGCATTCCAGTTTTAAACATCGTTCATTTCGCGAAAACAACAACTGTTCGCCTGTGTTTACACAAACAGTTTGTAAATTTTCAAAATCGATGCATAGTTCATATCACAGAATCGAGTTCGTATTCCGGATGCCAAATTTGAATTTGCGTTGGTTATTTGAATGATTTATGATTTATGGTCGGTTAATTTAAAGCCATTGATTTCGTCAGTCAAGCCATTTTAAAGCCAATGTTCCAGTTTTTGTTCCAGTTTCTTCGGCATTTTCTTATTGATCGTCTTCATCAGTTGAATAATAAAATCAGTCAATTCTTTCATCGTGAGTGTATTTTGAAAAAAAAAATCTTTCCCGGCTACAACACAATTTGTACATTAATCTATTTGGATCATAGATTTGGATTTGAGACTTTGTTTATATCGAACGCACACCTCACTTCATTGTGCTTCTTTCGATTGAATTGCTGATTATAGTGTACGGCGTCGATGGGATTCTTTATTGTTTTCAATTTGAGCATCCGCCGATGGTCCGCAGATGGAGCACTCGTGAGTAGTGTTTTTCGCGGAACGAGGTCCTTCACGGAGACCCTAGCGAGGAGTAAATCCTCCACAGTTATAGTTCTCGACTTCTTCTGAAGGATCTTTTCCTTTCAGACAGATTTCTCCCCCATGTAGCTCCTTAGTCATTTCATTTTCCGATTCCTCTTCCGGGGTCCCCTCTCGCCTATTTCGCTTTCCCATCGGAGGACAAGATCTGCGTGGGAATTATCCGGCAATTGTAAGTCTTTCATAGCACGTTTTTGTGTGACGAGAATTTTGAATATTTTGCTGCTGAAGCAGAAGTGGCATTCCTTTGGGTAATCTGTGAAGCTTGTAGCAGTATACGTGAGTATATTTCAACCTGACACGCTCACATGCAACTGCAATCCATGCATCGGCTTGAGCTCAAGCTTATACTCAGTTTTGCACTCAAGCTTAGACGCACGCTTCGATGTACGAGGAGTAAAAAAATATCCGCATTACCGCTACATCCGTACAAGATCCAGAACGAGGGAATATAATGTTTGGAGATGACCGATACACAGTTGAATCAAAAATTCCTCGAAGCAAAATACTGTTGGATTCATCAAGTGCATTGGCTCAGCCAGCAACCTCATATGCACTTTCTGTACTAGTGTTCGGTTCGGGTTTTTAGCTTATAGTGATGTTTTTTTTTTTCATTTTAAATGATTGATATATCGACATTTCAAAATTGCCGATTTGTTTCCGTTATTTCGACGTTTTTCTCGTTTCGTCTGGTTTTGATTGACATTCATTTTTGGCAATTCTGAATGGTTATTTGCTCGCAACCAACAAAAATCCACTTATTCCAACGAATTATTTTAAATAATCGACTTTATTCCTACATTTCGGTTACTGATCACTTTGTATATATAATGCGTTAAATATTCCTTTATTAACAGTAAGAGACTGAGGAATGGTTGGTTTTGCATTAGAGTATTGAATGGTGGAACATATATTTGAAATGAATTTAAAATTTTTAGCGAACTGACGCTGACTTTTGGTATTTTTTCGAGAAGAAATCTGTGGATATAATAACAAACAATTGCAAGCTTTATTGAATTGTGTTCGATTTTGACTGGTCTAACGCTGAAATGCATTTGAGCGTACCTCGAAATAAATCCATTCATGTGTAATATGATTCCTCCTTGTCACTTTCCTTTTTTTTATTATTTTGCAAATGGTGGGTAGTTGCTTTTGGATATGTTGACGATACAAGTTGCTTTCAGTATTCATTATTATGCTTCTTGAAACTTTTATCATGTATATTTTTACGTGTTAGCTGAGATATAAACTTTCAATCTTTCAGTATTTTCTGAGTAGAATGGATGTTGATGTTTCGATACTTAATTACAGTTCGGTAACCCTGATACAACTGAGTGCGAACGGAATAGATACCTGCCTGCTTTGTTTAGATACTTCATCATTCAGATACTGTGCTTTCATTGATTAAGTGCAACTAACTTAAGAGAATCTTCAATCAGCAGAAAGTCTATAGCTTTTCTTAAGTCCATAGGGGATTCATGAAGAACGTTAGAATTGCATCGTCTAATGGAAGATTTAAATGATTCTAATTATGAGGTGGCCGATTGTTGAAAAATTACACTCAGTCATCTTTAGTGTTTTTTAATGAATAGATATGAAGTGAGATAGATATGAAAAGAATCGCAGAAGAACATGCATCCTCGGTGATGCTTCACATCCAACCGGATTTAATGAATGAATCGTGAGCGGATGAAACTACAGATAAACATGGGCATCATATGCTTTTTAATCTCTATTTTGTTGATTAGGGTACTTTTTGGTGCATTTACATGCACACTTTTTTTGTGTTGGGAGGAGTTATCACCTCAGTGAATTGTTCTTTCGTGTTGAGTATTCGTTGCGTGACTGATGAGCAGCAGCTCCTTCAGTTCATTCAAACAAATTTGCAGTTGGATAATTTCAATAGTTTTTATTTGCATTTATTTATCACATCGTAATGCCCTCATTTAACTATCAAAATAACTTATGCAATGTGCATTCGTATAATACCTATAGAATACGTGACGTATTCACTTGTAAATTGATATTGGCGCATTGATGTTGGCATTTCAAATCTATTGAATGTTCTCCGTTGGTTATTCATAAAATTTCAACATTCTCAAATTTCTCTAAATACATTTCAGTTGTGCTCTGATATCACCACTGCATCCTCGCTCTGTTCATCAGCTGTTCGAACTCCAAAAAGTCCAACCAAACATCATTTTATTGAAGCCAATTAATTTTTATCCAATTCATTGGCCGTTTACGCTGCCACCACTCGTCAACGTTCACAAAGTGTATCTTCGTCAGTGAATCACCTATAAAAATGCTTCTATCTCCTCTTTCAACGATTCAGTTTCGTGATCAATTCTCGCAAATGAGTGCTCACTCGGCGACCAGTTACCAATCAAATAAAGCGTCTAAGATCCGTAAAGGTCCGAATCAAATCACCGCTCACTTTAGTAGACCATCTATTGGCTCTTTATCCTCTAGCTCTATTGGCTCTTTCGTCGGCATTATCCTCTTAACTGCATTCATTCTAATAATTGTTATTCGTTTGCGATGGACTGCGTATTGATTGCATTTATTCACATTCATTGTTCATTGTGACAATGGAGAATGTGAGAAATGTACTTGAAGAATTATTTACTTGAGCAAAGAATGGATGTTCACTTATTTTGTGCAGAATATTACAATTTATCATGATGAATATTACGAACCATAATGCCATGATGAATAACAGAATTTAGTAAAATGACAGAATTGAAAATGGTTCATTGATTCGAATGGAGAAGTGAGAGTGCGGAGTGAATGATATCAACTCAGTGATTGTCATCAAATTTGGTTTGGTAATTTGTTGCAGTGAAATTTCTGTCAAGGAAATATTTTCACCTAATGAAGCCTTTGTTATTGACCAACCCAAATTTGCGTTACCGTTCATTACATTCTTGAGTTGTCACATTCCTACAACGCTTAGTTTTAAATACGATTACATCTGTAAATACTGTCAATACTTCTGTGAATACTAAATGCACTTATTCATACTGTCTATTCCCTTTGTTTCTATCCGTGCAATATACCACAGTTCATTATCTGAACTGAACCATTTGGTTGAAATATTTGGAGGCAATGTCGTTTTTTAAAAACCGAAGATGGTACGGCATGTTCAGTGTTAGTTTTTGCTATTTGCAATATTATTTTTGAAAATTATGATCTCCAAGAATTTTTGCCACTTACATATTAATTTTTTTTAAGATGTAGCGATTGCATTAGTTGATTTGTATCAGCAGCTGTTTACTTCTCCTCGTTTCATTAAATTATTTTGATTGGAGGTTTTCATTTTCAAATAGTGTGCTTTGAGAATAACTGACATTTGATTAAAGGGAAAACCGTTTTATGCTGATTCTATGAGCTCAACTTGAAATTAAATTTGTTCGGATGAAATTTCACCCTGACTTCATTTTGGCCCTTGTTTTTAAAATTTTGGTGCTGTTTCTGCCATTGCAAGCAAAACTGAAGTGCAGTGCGCGAATACAAACTGTCATTGAAAGAATCACGACATTAAACTATTGCATTATGCATCAGTCAACTCCATAGAATCGTATGAATTCTTCCTCAAGTTGTAAATCTTGCCGAGGTGATTAGAAGTTGCTGGAAGTGGACAATCACTGATCAATTGAATGCTTGTCATCCCCAACATGTTGCCATGTTCTGCATGTAATTAATCAGAATCGATTGTTTAGGCTCGTGATCTAACAACCTGCATACTGGAACAAGACGAACCATCAAGAGTCATTTCTGTACAAATGCAGCTGGTGACAATGCAGTGGTTAACAACAAATCTGCGCGCATTTCATGCTGATATCATCTCACAAAATGTTCTGGAAAAACTTATCAAGCAACACGTCAGAAGGGTTCGTTGTTTTGTTTTCAAATGGGTGATGTGAATGGTTGTCAAATTCACGTTCTCATGATTGAATGAATGAATGTAATTGATGAAATGTGAAGAACTGAGGGGCTTGTGTGTGTTTCGTTGATTTTTGATAGATGCATTAGCATACGAAAGCAGCCATTACTGTTGATGAATCTTAGAGCAACTATAAAATCACTATATTCAGTTCAGTGTATTATTTAAGCTAAATAGCTTTGAGTGTTGCTTATTGAATTATTTCTTCATGTTCAGTGCTCAGTTGAATAATTGATGCTAGTAAAGAGAGTCACAGCCCTATGAATGATGAAGGCACTCGATCAAAATAGCCAAAAGAAACTGCATTTTTTTGTTTCATTTAATCATGTCATTTTATTAAAATTAAACGGAAAGGAACAATTCAAACTTTGAAACTGTCGCTTAAAATAGCTATGCGTTCATAAAACTTTTGCGGTTTATTGGGTTACGAATGAAATTCGCAGCAAAAAAATCAAAAATCACGAACGAATTGTGCCGAAATGGAGGGGATGTCCGTTCTTTTGAAACTTAAGATTGCTGAATTTATTGAGGTTGAAAATGTTATATCTAAGCATAGAGAATGAATTTATGTGCAATCTCTGAATTATCTAATAATCAGGTAGAATGTTACGATCAATTTTGAACGATAATTGTTGATTTAGGTAGAATTTTCGCATATACCCGATATGAATGATCCGAAAGCTGTGATTCCTCGAACAGCGAAACTGTACACAAAACAAGAGCCCTCCGAACGTTTCATATTAATTTTAGAAGGTCGAGCTATGGTCACAATTGGGCAGGTGAGTCATTTGTTCGTTAACCAATAGTAATTTCACGATCGAGTTCATTGACCGTTGAGTGAATTTCCGTATCCATTCAACATTTACTCACACTGAATAGCAGTTATGTTCACTGCTATCGGCACTTTTAAATTTCAGAATGCAATGACATTCGAGGCAGGTCCATGGCATTGTTTCGGTGGTGAATTGCTGGATCGATTAGTGCAAAACGCCCAACAGCAGTGTGCCACTGGCACGTCAGCAAATGCCCAACAACAACCACAGCAACAGCATTCATCCGTATCATTCTCACGCAACTCACTCTCCGGAAATTCGCCGTCAGATAACAGCAAAAAGCAAGTCAATACGTTCGTTCCAGACTTCTCGGCAGTGGTTCGAGACGACTGCACCTACTTGGAGATCACCGCGCAGACCTATCTGCTCGCCTACAAGTCAACACTAATCACGAAAGGAACCAGGTCACGTGATCAAATTTCACATCGTTTCACAGTTGCTAATTTAACCTCACTCGCAACAAAAACTGGGCGTGAAGAGTGTTGTTTGTATGATGTAGAGGACAGTGATTACACTAATTACCGACGTCATCAGTCACATCATCTTCTCCGTAACAATACGACCGCATCATTTCAAGCACTTATGATCTGAGAGCCGGATTTGTAGCGTTTCATAATACTTTTCACAGTTTTTTACCTATGCAGGTTTTTTTTTTNTTTTTTTTTCATTTTAAGCAAATCTTTATGGTTTATTTCATTTTCCTCAACGGTGTTGTTGAATTTACTGCGTACGCTTTTTGTTTGGAAGTAATTGAGGGATTGGATAGTGCATGAAAAGTTACAGTAGGATAGGTTGCGTATGCGATAGTAGCAAGCACATAATGTAGCAAGCACATAATCCCATTTTAATTGAATCAGTTCCGAACATTCATCTTTATCAGCCAAATTAATTGAATTTTTTTTGGTATTTTGAACGAGTTGAAATTTTAATCTGATACCAACATTCACGAATTGACAGCATCACATGGATCGGTAAGTGTGTGTTTCTTTTACTGACCTATTAACAATCTAATTTTTTGTGTTGTTCTTCTTTTTATCGGTAGTATTATTTTCATATCGCGCCAAACACTCATAGAGATTTCTCGAATAGAATCAGTAAGCGGTTAATTGATTACTTTTATGGGAAAATCACTCAATGAATTGTAGGTAAGAACTGTGATTTATGAGTGAATCAATCTCCCGTGGTATTTTCCTGTTCACTCAGTTGTTGGTCATAATGATACTTTTGATCATTTTTATCGTTGAAGCCAATTCATTGTCATAAACCAGTTAGCGTGACGCTCTAAGAAACGCTCTTTAGTTACTGAGCTTCGGCGTTCATTTGCTAATGGCCATTGTGTTGAAACGAATTCGTTGTTAGGTTTCTATTTGTGAGTGTCACCACCAAATTGAATCTAAATTTGAGCATTTGCGTAATCAAATTTTCGTCATCTTGAACGAACGCCAATACGATGATATTGTTGTCTGTTGATTTCAAGTAAAATTTCTATGGCGTTTCCTAAAGCGTTGCGGTAATGAATTCTGCGAAAGGGCTGCACTTAGACATTATCATTGAATAAGCCTTCAGAACAATGTCTTTTTCGTTCTGTTGGGTTCACCAAAAGAATTTCTTACTTTGTCGTGTGTTGTCTAGTAGCATTGTTAATTCAGCATTTCTGCAATTGTGTTTAGCAGTGCTTTGCACAGTTCTGTTTAGTCGTCAAAATATTTTTAAAAAAGATTCTTAGCTAATCATTTGCACTGAATCAATCGTTCTCTGTTCGGATTTTTCTATCTGCAAGTGTCATGTTCCAGTGAGACGACATACGTCAGCGTTTTTTTCGTTGTCTTCAGCAATTATTCCTCGATGAAGCTGTCATCTTCAATTGCTTTAAGTAAGAATTCTTCTTCAATTTGAGTAATGTATGTTTGCAAATTTTCAGAGCATGAAAAATTTTCATCGTCGCTTAAAAATTTTATCGATTCGATAGTGCAAAAACGTAATCATTTTCAAGCGTCAGGCGTATAAATTCACGGATTTGTTTTGCAAAGCGTTCTGTTCTCCGCTCAAACAATATGACCGTTCGCTTTATTTGTGACTTTGTTGAGACTGATTTCAGTATATTATCTTGAGTCGAATCAAATCGCATCTATTGAGCATTTTTTGAATGTCGCTTCAAGATATTCAAGAAAGGACTTTTAATTTTAGCTCTTCTCTAATCGTTTGTGAGAGTTCGGAAGGAAACAGTTGTTTTATTACACTGTTGTACTTTCACAACTTTTTCAAATAGAAATTCTTTTGGCATTTCCGTTTTCGAACGAACATGTATTCAAATTTAGAATGGAACGACGGTTAATCATTAGTTTAGCAGGACAGATCTCTGGTTGAGAATATGACTCGAAAATGTTAGCGTATCATTGAACTGCTTAACATAATGTAGAACTGAAAGGTATAATATGAGTAAATATTCGGCACGTTCACCCATTAGTGCGTATTAAACTCCTCATAACACACGAAGTGTTTTCGTTCGATTCAGGGCGTAGCGCTTAATGTTTGAGAATTTTCGACCCTTTTCGATTGGTTCCCTCTTCCCTTTTTGCGACCAATGCAACGTTTCGTCGTTCAGTTGTTTCGTTACACTGCTGTACTTCCTCAACTTTTTGTATCCGTTCAGTGTTGATTGAGGGCTAAATTGTTGTTCAGGCAAGATGATGTGCGAGCATTTTTTCGTTTTATTTCATAATTAAAGCGGTTGTTTGCAGTGTGAGTGGGCAGTTTTTTTTGTGAAGAAATTCAGGAAGTATTGGTAGCCGCTCATGTAATGTGAACGCTATTTTTTGGCGAATTTGAATTTCATTGATAGGGAATAACTGAAATTTGTGTTGCGCTCACACCGATTCCATGTTGTTGCTGTTATTCGTATGCCACCCAAGGCATATTGGCCGAGTTTAGGGAACTTAATGAAGATTTCTTTTTTCATGCAAAATTTTCCCGTCTCCATCAAATCTGTGTTTCATTAATATGACATAACCGTTAGGCTGCCCAACTGACGCCTTGTTTTGCTTTGTTTTCCTGACTCATTTCGTAGTATACTGATTAACGAGTTAACGAAATATGAGCGGGACTCAAATTTTCGATGAATGTTTCGTTTGTCATTAAGTAAATTTATGTTGGAGTCGGCCAGTTTTACGTTTCAATTCTTTTGAGGTTAAAATGAAATGATGAACTTTCATAAAATTCACGATTTCCTGTGTAAATAATTGGAAGAGAAGGGACTCAAAATGATTTGAGTAACTGTCGACAGGTTTACCAGACAAGATTTGTGTTGAAGATGCTTCAGTAAACTGTTGATTTACATGTATGTATGTGATCATGCAGTAGTGATTGATTGTTGTGTGAATGGTGTTCAGTTGCTATTCCTGAATTCAACTAAGGCAAATAGATCGTATCATTTGTAAAAACTAGTTCGTTGGGATCAGGTATAACACTATGCAGTAGTCCGTATTCTGGCGCTGGTGTTAAGAATATGGAAATTTCGGCAATTACACTAACTAACAATCTTTAACTATACTAGTGTTTTTCACGCTTGGAAGCTCCATTGCCTCCTATGATGGCCTGGTAGGCCGTCATTCGCCTCCCTACAAGAATTTACTGCTTCCACATATAACGTCAGGAACAGGTCGAAAACCGGTGCAAATAATGTCAGGTGGCGTGAAAGAATTTAATTTTCTGGAATGAAATAACTACTGCAAGAAATATTAGTTTGCGACCCCTCATTTACCCTCCTGTAAGAATCAATGAACTATACTGATCAGCTTAACATCAGTCACATAACAAAAAATGTTGTGAAACAATCTCATCATTAATTATCTTGCATTCGCAAATGAATACTCGCTTATTTTCCTTTGTATTTTTATCCGTTTCGTAATTCTGTCCATTCGCTTAATATTCGTTGATAATTTGTTGATAACAAAATGTTTATGAATGTGTCATTACCATTTCTTTCGGAAAATAAGCATAATGCTGCTACGAGTAAGGCATCGAAAGATCCAACTAATTTTTTTTTCTAAATTAAGGGAACGTTAAGGTTTGCATTGTTAGATTACATTCTAGCTGTCTTAAGAATTTCAAATTTTTTCGCTCAAATCTCATATTACAAGATAACGAATGAATTCGAGTAGGATGTTGCGTGTTTTCGGAAGACATTCTCAGGTGTACAAGATGCAATTGTGAAAGCTTGAATCGTGTCGCTAGCGGTATCCATTATGCTTATTGATGTTGAATATTGTGAAGTCCACTAATTTTTGCTTTTTCATTCCTTTTGTTAAGTGCTTTTCTTGATGTATTCACCTTTGTTTCTTGGTATCACTTTTCATTCCTTGTTTTGTTTGTTTATTTATTCGCTTTTGTTCAACATTCCGTTGTAATCGTCCATTATTCGAAAATAGTTCGTTGTAAACGTCCTGTTGTCAATTCTCTTTGAATTGAAAATCTTCTCAGTTATATTGATGAATTGAGAAATTATTTGCTGTGGTGAAACGAACTATCTGAGGGAATAAGCTTTCACTGATTTATTCCTTTCAGACGTACTTTATGCTTTCTGACTCTATCGTATTGCGAATTGGTGAGTATTCTCATTGATTTCCGTTAGGCAGTAAAACAGTGATGCACACTGATTTTCAACGATCCAATGCGCAATCAAATTAATTATTCGTAACAGACGGTGAAAATTCATTCTTGCATCTAGTTGCTGTTGTTCGAATTCATTCAAAACGAATATTCTCCAATGCATTTTATTGTTTGCATTTGCTCTTTCATGTATATTTTTTTCTTGCAATATTCTGTTGAAGGAATATTTGTTTGACTTTATGAGGAGCGTCTGCCTTTTTTGCATTCGCATATGTATATATTTGCGTTTTGATGATTTGATGCTTGGTGCGGAGAAGTTTTTTGTTGGTTGAGGCGAATAAAATGTACGCGAAAACGAGAGGGAAAATGGAAAATTCAGTGAGAATTATCACGCAACTAACGCATATCAAATGTTTATTGTCTGTTTCAAAATAACGTTATGACACTTGATTGAAAATTGCACCAAATTTGAGGAATTCTCGTCAGTGCTGAAAATCGGAAGATTACCTCAATGAAATGATGAAATGAATCTGTAATTCAGTCGGTGTATTTAAGCAAGTGACCCCCAGCGGAAAGGTTCCATGCTAAAGAATTGCATTCATAAGGAAGGAAGAAATCTAAATTATGTTTCCTTATTATTAACCCGATCTTAGAACAACACTTGATAGTGTTATGGGTATAAATTTTTCGAAAATTTAAGTTGACGTACTATGTTCGAAGTGATTTTAAAATATGAAACTATGAAGATAAAATGAATGAACGATTATGGATTTACTTGCCGAAAACAATGTGCGGCATAAAATAGTCTGATTGATGAACTAAACGGAATCCTCGTCCACACAGAATATTCTCTGCACTTTATGACTGAGTTTAATCGATCCAAATTGAATCTGATGTAATATAATCATAATATACGAGTACTAATATCCCTTAATTGATCAATTGATTTACATTGCCTTTTAATCGTGCTCATCACGCAAGTT